ATTTGCCATGGGAACTTTGCCACCCATAGTGATAATAGGATCTGTGTGTGATCGGGTTTGAGAGTCCTAGGGGGCATTTTGGAAATTTGTAGGGAGTATTTTGGTTAGCACAATGTTGGGAAGGGGCTATGCTACTGGCTTAGTGGTAAGGATCAGGTAATTCAGACATCTTGCAGGGTTTTTTTTACAAGGAATTTCCCAAAAAGCTCAGGTGTTTAGGGGAAGGTCATTATGGAGGGGAAGCTTAAATGAAGACTGATACTGTCTTGATCTTATAAAATAACATACTCTGGACGATGTATACTTTATGTAGTACAGCTACTTCAAAAACAATGAAACCAGGGGCACCTGGGTGGCTCAGTTGGTTAAGCGACTGCCTTCGGCTCAGGTCATGATCCTGGAGTCCCGGGATCGAGTCCCGCATCGGGCTTCCTGCTCAGCGGGGGGTCTGCTTCTCCCTCTGACCCTCTTCCCTCTCATGCTGTCTCTCATTCTCTCTCTCAAATAAATGAATAAAATCATTAAAAAAAAACCAAAAACAAAAACAATGAAACCAGTTGCAAATACAACAGGGTATTGGAGACTCCTTTTAACCGAGTTAGAAAGAAATGCTAAATTGACAGGAGACGAAATTTAGAGATCTCACTGGATTTCATTAACAAAGGCTATTTTAAAACTAAAACTAATACTTCCATCCTATAGACTTAAATTTTTTTTGGCATAATGAGAAAAGTTATGAAAATTCTTTTGGGGATTACTGGTTTTTTCCATTTTATTTTCATGCTGTCCTCAGACATGTACCCCAAAAATCCCCTGTGGCCTATCCTCCTTTGCCAATCCACTCTTTTTCCATTGCCCATTAAAAGATAGGGTCTCCAAGTGTGTTTTTAAGTATTAGAGACTAAATTTATGTAAAGGTAATATCTCAAGTGTGAAAATATGTTTTCTGTAATACTGTCATCAGCTATACCCCACCCCACTGCGTAACAAGAAAAAAAAATTTTTTTAAAGCTCAGCTCATTTGTGAGAATATCACAAGCTCCTTATTTTCATATCCAAACTTCTCATATATGTAAACTTCCATATTTTATCTTAAGACCACATAATCTTTCCGGACTTCTTCCATTTCCCTCTTCTGCTTATCATTAATAAATCAGTCTAGCCTATTATTACTTCTCTTAATGCCCCTTTTCTTAGAGGGGGAGGGGGAGAGGAAGAGGGAGAATCCTTTTTTTTTTTTTTAAGAGGTTAAGTAATTTTTTAAAAAGATTTAATTACTTATTTGACAGAGAGAGAGAGCGCACAAGCAGGGGGAGCGGGAGAGGGAGAAGAAGGCTGCCTGCTCAGCAGAACTTGATCCTAGAACCCTGGGATCATGACCTGAGCCAAAGGCAGACGTTTGACTGAGCCACTCAGGTGCCCAGGAGAGAGAGAATCCTAAGCAGACTCCACGCCCAGCATGGAGCCCAAAGCGGGACTTGATCCCACAACCCTGAGATCATGATCCGTGCTAAAATCAAGAGTCGGATGCTTAACCAACTGAGCCACCCAGGCGCCTTTTTTTTTTTTCCCAAAGATTTATTTATTTATTTATTTGAGACAGAATGAGAGACAGAGAACATGAGAGGGAGGAGGGTCAGAGGGAGAAGCAGACTCCCTGCCGAGCAGGGAGCCCGATGTGGGACTCAATCCTGGGACTCCAGGATCATGACCTGAGCCGAAGGCAGTCGCTTAACCAACCGAGCCACCCAGGCGCCCCCCAGGCGCCTTCTTAATGTCTTTAAAACCTAGTGTCCAGGGGCGCCTGGGTGGCTCAGTCGTTAAGCGTCTGCCTTCGGCTCGGGTCATGGTCCCAGGGTCCTGGGATCAAGCCCCGCATAGGGCTCCCTGCTCGGCGGGAGGCCTGCTTCTCCCTCTCCCACTCCCCCTGCTTGTGTTCCCTCTCTCGCTGTGTCTCTCTCTGTCAAATAAATAAATAAAATCTTAAAAAACAAAAACAAAAAACAAACCTAGTGTCCACCTGTATCTCTGCTCGTTTATCTTCCTACACTTTTTCTACTGTGCAACTCTCTTAAACTCAAGCTTATATTCATTACTAGTGTCTTATCTGCAAAGAGGGAGAAAGGAAATCAGAGTTGGGAGCTTTGGAATAGGGAAGCAGGGGGAATGCAATTGAGAGTTGACAATGGATGCACAAAAGGACAATCAGTGGAAATTGGACAGCATGAATTTGGACTGGAGATGGTCACCCTTGTTTCTTGACTGGCCACAATAATTCAAGCTGCTCAGAAGCAGAGAAAACAAAAATGAGAGGACTAGGGCTGATGGCAGGCAAGTTAAACTCGATCATATCACTTCTCGGCTTACAATCCTTCAAAGGCTTCCCATTACTTAACATGACCTTCAGAAGCCTCAGTCATCTGGCACTGCGTATTTCTCTAGCCTCTTCTTGTACCATTCTCCCCTTGGCTTTCAAAGTCCCAACCCCCCTGGCCAATTCCTTCCATCCTAAAGGCTTTTGCACATACCATTCCTTTCATCTGTCACCTCCAATTCTTCCCATCCCCCACCCTTTGCTTCAGCTTAAAAATCACTTCCTCAGAGAAGACTTTCCTGACCCCCAAATCCAATCAGGGCACTCTATCAAAATAGTCTTTCGACATATGCTTTATTTGTCTCTCGTTAGACCTATCACAGTTATGTTCATTTGTATGAATACCCTTTTCAGACATGGAAATAGCTCTGTGGAGGCAAGCACTTGGTCTACTTTGTTGACTGCTAAATTCCCAGCACCTAGCCTAGTGCCTATCACCAGCAGGAACAGCAGGAATATTCGTTCACTCATTCAATATATTTATTGAGTTTACTGAATGAGTGAATGAATGTTCAGAAGAGTTAGCTATGGGACTTTAGACAAGTTTTTTATTGTAATTACATCTCCATTTTCTCATCTGCTAAATGGGGCAATGATACTAATCTTTAACCTCAGGATTGCCGTGCGGATTAAGAGACAATGCCTGCCTACCATGGTGTCTGACATTATTGTAGGGGCTAGGAAATGTTAGTTCTTATCATCATTAAAAATAAGCTCTATGAGCAACCAGAACTCTCATACAGCACTGGTAGGAATGCAAAAATTATACAGCCACTTTGGAAAAACAGTTTACCAGTTTCTTACAGAGTTTAACACAGATTTTCCATACAATCCAGCAATTCCACTTCTAGGTATTTACCCAAATAAAATGAAAACTTTTGTTCACACAAAACCTGCTCACAAATGTTTATATCAGCTTTATTCATCACTGCCCAAAACTGGAAACAACCCAAATGTTCTTTAAACAAGGAATGGATAAATAAATTGTGGTATAGCCACACAGAATGTCACTCAGGAAGAAGGAATGAACTACTGATACATGCACAACATGGATGAAAGGCAACAGCTTCATGCTAGGTGAAAGAAGCCAGACTCAAAAGGCGACATGTTATATCATTCCATTTATATGACGTTCTAAAAAAGCCAAACTGTAGGGACAGTAATCAGGTCAGTGGTTGCCAGGCAACGGGGTGGAGCAGGAGGGAATTTGTAGGAATGAACAGAACTGTCCTAGGACTTGATTGGGTGGTAGTGACATGACTATATGCATTTATCAAAACTCATGGCATTATAAGCTGAAAGGTCAATTTCATATGCCCTGATGTAAAAGATAAAGATCCAAAACAGGTGGATAAAATTACATTTTCCTTTTTAAAAAAAGTATTATAAAAGTACTACAGGCTATTTGTAGACATTTTGGGAAAATGGACAAAAAGGGTACATTCCATCACCCACAGAACAGTACTATTTCTTTTCTATCATTTTTATCCGTGCAAAATACACATAAACTGGGAGCACACTGTACATTTTTGCTTTCTCAAATGTACATTTTACTTTCTGGTATATATTAAGCACATTTTTCCATGTCACTAAGTAACTTTCAAAACCATGATTTTATAGTCAATACTATTCTATTGTATAGCCCACTTATATTTTTAAGCCTTCCCTTATTGTTAGAAATTGCTTCCATGTTTTTATTACAAACAACTTCGATAAAATTAAAAAAAAGAAAAGCTGAGTGGGGCCAGGGACTCTTCCGTTTTGCAATTTCACAATGTTTAACTAGTAAAACAACTCTTCCTTGGCTGCCATCGCCTCATTGTTTTAAGTGTCTGGAGGAAAAGTGGTTCCACAGGGTAATCGGGCCTCTCTTTCCTTTGCGGTGCATAAGAGCTAGGCACCCTAATATTACCTGTATTACTAGCTTAAATTTGCATAGCGCTTTCTATCCTTGCAGCTTATGCAGGGCAGATGGAGTGATTTGCTCAAGAGCCCACAGCTTATCTATCAATCTTGGAATGGGACTTAGACTCCAGATACTGAGTCTCAGAAAGTAAACATTCCCCAGCGGCGGAGCACTGTCTAATCTGGCTCTGCACGCCCATCAGTGCCTCCCGCCCCAAGGAGAAGCTGCAGACACCCCCAGAAAACTCTGCCTCGAGGCTTGGCACATGGGGAACTTAACTGTCAAGTGGACGCTGTCCCTCCGACCAACTGTCCTTGGCAACATCGCCACTTACCAGCTGGGGTCATTTCTCCCCCCGGTGGCAGGGGGACACCTACTGCCACTGACCAAGGGGGCCCTGGGAGCTGTAGGATCGCCGGCTTCGCGGCCTGTGAGGGCTGTTGTCGGTCGGTCGCGACGTCGGGGCTTACCCTCACTTGGGGGTCCTGCCAGGGCGGCCAGGCCCTCCCCAACACCGGGGCCTTCAGTGGGGGGCGCGCCCTCGGCGAGGTGAAGCGGGACCCCATCATGTTAAGGAGAGCTGAGGGCAGGCAGGAGCCGCCGGACCACAGGGCTGCCCCGGGAGACTCCCGGAACGTGACCGGAACGCCTGCCTCCTCGGGGCGACCAGAGGTCAGTCCTCCGCTATCCCAGAGTGCCCCGGATCCCGGAAGTGCCCGGCTTTCCGGAAGTGCCCGGCTGGCTGACGGAGAAGGGGTTTGCCTGAACGCGGCCAGGAGAGGGTTGTGGTGCTGGAGCTTGGGTGACGGCTGGAGGAGCGACTCGGGGTTGAGGTGGGCTTCAGGAGAGAGCTGGGCGGCGGGATGATGGAAGAGGAGGAACTGGAGTTCGTAGAGGAGCTGGAAGCCGTGCTGCAGCTCACGCCTGACGTGCAGCTCGCCATCGAGCAGGTGAGCGTTCCGCCCCCTGAGGGGAGGAGAGCGGAGGATGGGGAAGTCTGGGGGTGGGGCCGGGAGGAAGCGCCTTTTGGACCGAGAGGTGGGAACTAGGCGCTGAAGGGAAAGGAAAGGGTTGGGGGGGAGGTGGTGGTGGGAAGGGGTTTCTGAATCTAAGGGAGGGAGAGAGCCCTTTCTAGGCCTTGATTGTCTTTGGAGGGTAAGGCGTCCTGGTGGGTTTGGGCAAAGGAACCGTGAAAGCCCCTCGAAAGCATGAACCTGGAAGAAGGGAGTTCACGGACACCAACCTTCAGATTTGGGGGTTTATTTGCCAGGCTGGTGTGCCACCGCTCCCGATTCTCAATCTAGTCCTTTGTGAGGGATTCGGAATTGAGAGGAGGAGCAACTTTAATACCCGAAGCGGATCGCTGAGCAGAGGGGACAAGGTTGAAAAAGGACCCCTTTACTATACTTAAGTGGTTGAGAATTCCTGCTATTGATTAGTTTGGATTAGACTGAAGAATATTCCCCGGAGGCCTTCTTCCCTTCAAGGACTCCTAGGTTGACTAAATTCTCTTTTCAAGTTTATTGAGTTTTGAAGAGTAGTGATATTAGAAATAGTCATCTGGACCCTTGTGCAGGGTATTGCTCTTGATAAAGGGAGAGGATTTCCCTTAAAGGAATTGGTGTAGGGGATAAGATTGAAGAAAGGAGGGTTATGCCACATTTAGGGACCACCGGGAAGTTTTTTGAAGTAAAGCCTTGCTACTGTTACTGCTAATAGTTAATATTTATTGAGCATTAACACTCTAGGTCTGTCATTGTACTAATTTATTTGTATTGTGCCATTTAGAGATTTTTGGATGTGTGTTTTTCTACCAGTGGTTGGATTACCCATACAAAGCACATTTGGTACATCCTGAGGATGCCAGACCGTTGGGCAAAGGTTTAGCTGTTCAGGCCACAGTTCCCCACCCACCTGCATCGGACAGAAGAAGACATGCATTTCATTTTCTCTTTGGACCTAGTGCGCTCTAATAGAAGAAACAAACAATGCAATCAATTACCGTTTGGCAAGGATTTTAGAAGAGCACATTTTTGCTATTTCTTAATAAGACAGTTCTAGCATAAGTTTATGTAATAAGCAGACATAAGAAAAGAATTGGCTTTCAGAATGACTATTTTGAGCTGGTAAAATTCAGTGCTCGGGATCACGTGACTGCTTTTTTTTTTTTTTAAAGATTTATTTATTTATTTATTTGTCAGAGAGAGAGAGAGAGAGAGAGCACAAGCAGGGGGAGCAGCGGACAGAGGGAGAAGCAGGCTCCCAGGAGCCTTGGGATCATGACCTGAGCCGAAAGCAGACGCCTAACTGCCTGAGCCACCCAGGCATCCCTCGACTGCTTTTATAATCTACCTTGTTATATATTTTTCAAGTTGTAGCTTTTGAAGGGAGTTATTTTTCAGAAGGCATTATTCTTTCTTCTTTTAAAGAGATGGACAGTTCCCGAAGGCAAGCTCCATTTCCTGACACTGTCTGAAGCATAAAAATTGCTTTGATGCATAGTGAATTCTAATGCTGAGGCGTCCCAGAGACGTAGTGCATAAATCTTTTATCAAGGCTTCTTTAGTACAGTCATGTCATCAGCTCGTTTAATCTGATAATGGACAACGCCGGTTTATTTTTCCTTGTCCATGGGATTTTGTTGATATCTGTGGAACTTGCCACTCTTGCACATTCTGTTAGTTGCATCAAGATGTTAAAATTACAGGGGCGCCTGGGTGGCTCAGTCGTTAAGCGTCTGCCTTCGGCTCGGGTCATGATCCTGGGGTCCTGGGACCGAGCCCTGTGTCGGGCTCTCCGCTCCGCGGGAAACCTGCTTCTCCCTCTCCCACTCCCCCTGCTTGTGTTCCCTCTCTCGCTGTGTCTCTGTCAAATAAATAAATAAATAAATAAATAAATAAATAAATAAATAAATAAAATTACAGATGTTGGTGAAAATTAAAGATTTACTTTAACATATTTTACTGAGCAATTGTTGTGTGTTAGGCCTTATAAGGTGAAAAAAGATATGTTTTTTGCCTTCAAAGAATTTACCATCCAGTAGGAAGGAAAGAAATAATACATAAGGGGCGCCTGGGTGGCTCAGTTGGTTAAGCGACTGCCTTGGGCTCAGGTCATGATCCTGGAGTCCCTGGATCGAGTCCCGCATCGGGCTCCCTGCTCGGCGGGGAGTCTGCTTCTCCCTCTGACCCTACCCCATCTCATGTGCTTTCTCTCATTCTCTCTCTCTCAAATAAATAAATAAAATCTTTAAAAAAAAAAAAAAAGAAAGAAATAACACATAAAACAAGACAGAAAGATGACAGTTATTTTTAATCCCCTGTCTTTGTTTAGGTGTTTCCAAGCCAGGATCCTCTAGATCGAGCAGATTTCAATGCTGTGGAGTATATCAATACCCTGTTCCCAACAGAACAAGTGAGTATAGAGTTTCCTTCATTTCAGTGGTTTCTGGCTCATCCTAAGTGTTATGATTGGTGTGTTATACTACACAATCTAAGGAGACTTGATAAACAAGTGAGAGTTAAATTCAGATCAAACCCCATTGTAACTGATTGGGAGTGGGAGGTAGCTTATACCAAATACTGTTGTGTGAGAGTGAAATTCTTTGTATTGTGAGCATATTATTAGAAGTTATACCTTTAGCTTATAAGAGTCCCCCCACATTTTCCATAGTATATTAGGAAGTAGGAAGGATTTTTAAAACTAATAGGGAAGAGTGGGAGTGAAGTGGACAGGATAACCCTAGAATCATAACGCTACTTTCACTCCTATTTTCAGACTTTATTTTTCACTTTGTTGTGTTGGGTGATTTGCCTATACAGATGAGTTTTTCTTACAAAATTGGTTTTTGGGTGTGTAGGTGAGAAGTAGATCAGAATTAGGAACAGCAGAGCTTGGGGCACCTGGGTGGCTCAGTCGGTTAAGCCTTCAACTCTTGATCTCAGGGTCCTGAGTTCAAGCCCCACTTTGGGCTTGTGGAGCCTGCTTTAAAAAAAAAAAAAAAAAAAAAAGCAGAGTTGGGAGGTCAGCAAGAGTTCTGCTTGTTTTTTCATTTATGAATTCAAAAAATGATCAGTGGGCACCTGTCAGGTATTATTAGTCACGGTGCTAGGCGCTGGAGACAGAAAGATGAATAACGGGGCGCCTGGGTGGCTCAGTCGGTTGGGTGGCTGCCTTCGGCTCAGGTCATGATCCCAGGGTCCTGGGATCGAGCCCCGCATCGGGCTCCTTGCTCAGCGGGCAGCCTGCTTCTCTCTCTGCCTCTGCCTGCCGCTCCCCCTGCTTGTGCTCTCTCTCTCACTGTCTCTCTCTCTATGTCAAATAAAAATAAATAAAATCTTTAAAAAAAAAAAAAGAAAAAGAAAGATGAATAACGCCCAGTCCATGCCCCCTTGAAGTGTACATGATCAAGGTTGGAGGGAGACACTGGTGAATCCTGGAAGAGAGGTATGCAATGGTTTAGTGAGGAATAGGGAACAGTTTTTCTTAAGAAAATCATAACCTCAGAGAGGAGGCAGCCCTTTTGCCAAATCTTAAAGGAGTCATTCCTTCACTTAGTCAGAGGCATTTATTAAGTGTCTACTAAGTGCCAGCACTGTTTAGAAACTGGAGAGAAATGGTAAACGTGATGGGCAAGTTCCTGTTCTCGTGGAGTCTAGTGTAAGGAAGAAGACAATAAACAGATCAACAAATACATATAAAAGAAATTATCAAGCGTGGTTGATGCTGTGGTAAAAAGCAGGCACAGCAATAGAACATGACAGCATGGGGCGGGGTGGGGGGTGCTTTTTTAGATGGGTGGTTAGGGGAGGCCTCCGTGAGGTACTTACCTATAAACCGAGACTTGATACCTGTGAAGGGGCCAGGCTTGTGGCAGTCTGGCAGAACAGTGTTCAAGGCAGAGTGAACCACTAGGTGAATCTTCCAGGATGACAGGGAAAGAAGGTCATTCTAAGCACAGGGCAAAGGCTCAGAGGTGAGAAACAAAGTGCGCTCAGGGAGCATGGCTTCCTAGGAGATGGGGCTGAAGGGGTTGGCAGAGCAAGAGCCCTGAAGGGACTCTGTTCTCTGGGCTTGCAGACTCCAGTTTTGTGGATACCACACACCTTGCAGTGAAATGTTTTTCACTGGGCTAAATTTTAAGCTTGTATACCCTCAAAATACTATGCACATATCCTAGTACCGATCTTAAATAAATTGGGTTTTAGTAGTGTTTGTCATATATATAATAAAAATAGAGGTTTTAATGTTTTCTCTTCACACTCTAATGGGCATTATCGCAAACCCCTTGGGGATGTGCACACCCTGCACTGGAGACTGTGACTCTAGGCAGTGGGTGTTCATTCAGGGACTCTTGTCAGAATCATGACTGGATCAGATCCACATTTTAAAAATTCCACCTGGCAGCAGTGCGGAGGATGAACCAGGGGACGGCAGAACTGGAAGGCAGGGAGACCAGTTAGCAGACTCCTGTGATGGATCACTTAAGAGGCAGACAGGAGAACCTGAGTGAACACTGGGATGGAGAGAGCAAGATCGGAAAGCTATTTAGGAGTCAGGAGTCAGAATTTGGTGGTTGAAAGGACGTAGAATCTAAAATTTCCTCACTTACTGAACAAAAAACACCTCCTCTGCCTAGTTCTCAAAGAAATTTGGGGCTAGAGGCTGAACAAGATAGATTTGGTCCTTACCAACATAGAGTTTCCAGTCTACCTTGATCGGTAATAATCACACCATGAACAGATTAATAACAGTAAGTTATTATGACTCTACAATGACTTGTTTGTATAATTATTATTACTTGTTGCTTGCTCTCAAAAGAGTCCTCAGTTCTGCTACAACTATAATAATAGTTAACATTTATTGGGCACACCAGACACCATTCTAAACATTTAATAGTAATATATTTACCACCTTGTTAACATGCTTGTTTTTTTGTTGTTGTTGTTTTGGGTTGTTTTTTTTAAGATTTTATTTATTTGAGAGAGAGATCTCGAGCAGGGGGGATGGGTAGAGGGAGAAGCAGACTCCCCGCTGAGCAGGGAGCCCAACTTGGGATTTGATCCCAGGACCCCAGGATCATGACCCAAGCTGAAGGCAGACACTTAACCAACTGAGCCACCCAGGTACCCCCAATATGCTTGTTTTATGATGAGAACAAGGAAGAACAGAGAGAGAAAGAATGCTCAGCTTAAATGTGATAGCAATGCCATGAAGAAAGCATGCTGAGTACTATGAAAACGGAGCACCCACGGCCTTACATATTAAGTCTGAGCGATCCAGAAAGACTTCACTGAAGAAATGGCATTTCAGTTGCATGTGACTCACACCAAATGAAGGATTTTGAACTTTGATTTCTAGCCTGCCGACTGGGTGGATGTTGACACCTTTACCCTAAGTTGGGAGTAAGAAGAGTAGGCTTCGGTGGTAAATAGGGTAGGAGTAGGGTGTAAGAGTGAGCTAAGTTTTGAACATTTTTGGGCCATCCAGGTGGAAATATGTACTTGGATATTTGAGTCTGGAGCTCATAATCTCCGTAATTGTTAATATTTTGGCACATATTCTTCCAAACTTTTTCTAACAGACATGTTAATTTTTTCAAATGAGGTTGGAAAAATGGTATGATTCTCTGTGATTGTCTTTGAAGTTTCACAGATAGCCTTTAGAGCTCATTGTTTTCTGTGAAAGGAATTCTAGGAATTAGCTAGAGATAGAAATTTGGGAACAACTGGTATAAAGGCAGCAGTTTTGGCTGTGAAAATGTCATCTGCCCCACCCTATCAAGAAGGCAGACTCATCAAAACAAAAATAACTGTTAGATTTGGAAATTATACAGGAAACCACCAGGTTCTTACTTCTTCCTGGTTTGTTTTTGTATGTATTTGATTTTAAATAACTAAAGGTATAGGGCATGTCGGTGGCTCAGTCGGTTAAGTGTCTGCCTTTGACTCAGGTCATGATCCCGGGGTCCTGGGATCGAGCCCCGCGTTGGGCTCTCTGTTCAACAGGGAGCCTGCTTTTCCCTCTCCCTCTGCTCCTCCCCCTGCTTATGCTCTCTCTCTCCCTCTCTGTCAAATGAATAAATAAAATCTTTAAAAAATAAAAATAAATAAACTGAAGGTAGCACTAAACATTTGTTATAACACAGATTCAGTTATATGTCTTACCTAATTATGACTCCATGTATATGATAATATATAGTGAAGTATTTTTTTATTTTTTTAAAAGATTTTATTTATTTATTTGACAGAGAGCGAGAGAGCACAAGCAGGGGGAGCAGCAGACAGAGGGAGAGGAAGAAGCAGGCTCCCTGCTGAGCAAGGAGCCCCATGCGGGATGGAACTCAATCCCAGGATCCTGGGATCGGGATCTGAGCCAAAGGCAGATGCTTAACTGACTGAGCCACCCAGGAGCCCTGTAATGAAGTTTCTTAGCAAACTAAGAAAATTTATGACACAAGGTTATATTATTTTTCCAATCCTGGATTTATATTTAGCAGTTCATTTTCCAACCCAGATTCCCATGGACCTTAATAAAAAGGTAATAGAAAATAGTGGCATGATTTAGAATTTCTTTCACCTCTTGCTAGATCTTGGGCAAAACCCACCTATATCATGGACCTGCAGTGAATTCTTCTGAATCATGAGTTTAGAATATTTACAGTAGATGTCAGTAGATATAGAATAAATTTAGTGTCACTCTAAGGAGGAGAAGGATGTGTATGTGGGTTCTATTGAGTAGCAGTTACTTGCAAGTCTGTGGTTGCCTGGAGGCAAGGAGATCCCTAGATGTTTCTAACTCGCTAGGTCCAAGTGGGAGGAACTCAGTTTTCTGTATTTAATAGGGCTCTCTGGTAGTTCTAAAGAGTAGCCAGGTTTGGTAGCAATGATCTGGAAAACTTTTCTAGTCTCCTAGTAGAGAACTGAAGATAATCATTTGTCATGTTTTCATTAGAGGTTTGATTAGGGGAATCTAGATAAAATCTGTTAAAAAATGACTATGGGGCACCTGGGTGGCTCAGTTGGTTGGGCGACTGCCTTCAGCTCAGGTCATGATCCCAGGGTCCTGGGATCGAGTCCCGCATCGGGCTCCCTGCTCTGCAGGGAGCCTGCTTCTCCCTCTCCCACTCCCCCTGCTTGTGTTCCCTCTCGCGCTGTGTCTCTCTCTGTCAAATAAATAAATAAAATCTTTAAAAAATAAAAATAAAAAATGACTATGAAACTAATAAAACTAAGAACTTTGAAAGAAGAGTCATGTGGGGCGCCTGGGTGGCTCAGTCGGTTAAGCATCTGCCTTCGGCTCAGGCCATGATCCCAGGGTCCTGGGATCGAGCCCCGCATCGGGCTCCCTGCTCTGCGGGGAGCCTGCTTCTCCCTCTGCCTGCCGCTCCCCCTGCTTGTGTTCCTGCTCTCACTATGTCTCTCTCTGTCAAATAAATAAATAAATAATTAAAAAAAAAAAAGAAAGAAGAGTCATGTGAAGCTGTTTTTAATGACCCCCAAAATGCTCTGGGTCTATGTCGTTAAGTGAAAACAGTAAGATGCCAAATTGTTTATCATCCCAGTTTAATTTTTTTTTAAGCCACATATTTGCTTAGAAGGAACAGTAGAAAGCAATATACCAAAATGCTAATGGTGATTATTTTCTAATGGAGGTACAGTGGGGAGTTCTGTATTTTCTATAATCAGCAAGAATTGCTTTTAGATTCGGGAAAGACTTTCAGGGGCGCCTGGGTGGCTCAGTCAGTTAAGCGGCTGACTTTGGCCCAGGTCATGATCTCAGGGTCCTGGGATCAAGCCCCGCATCAGGTTCCTGCTCAGCAGGGAGCCTGCTTCTCCCTCCCCCCCTGCTGTGCTCACTCTCTGTGTCAAATAAATAAAACCTTAAAAATTAAAAAAGAAGGGACGCCTGGGTGGCTCAGTCGGTTAAGCGTCTGCCTTCGGCTCAGGTCATGATCCCAGGGTCCTGGGATCGAGTCCCGCATCGGGCTCCCCGCTCCACGGGGAGCCTGCTTCTCCCTCTGCCTCTGTCTCTCTCTCTCTCTCTCTCTGTCTCTCATGAATAAATAAATAAAGTCTTTAAAAAAAAAAAATTTAAAAAGAAGGAATCAGGGAATACTTTTCAATAATTAAAACATTTTTAAATGATAAAACTGTACAACCGCATTATAACTAAACTAGATGGGTGATTCTCAAAGAGGAGATGTATCACCTCCAGCCAGGGTCACCAATCTGGATTCTTCTTTGTTGTTTCTGAGCCTTCCTGCCTGGCATCTTTAATGGCATAAAAGTCCCTCGAGTAAATGTGGACTGATTTATTTTAACTTTTCTACTATGGTCATTTAGGTTGTTACCTGCTCCCTTAAATGCAGTTGAATATCTGAAGGCGTACATATTTTGAATTATTCTTAAAAAAATTGTTACGGCTTAAGCAAGAACTTCATGTTTAAGGAGTATAAATTTAAGAATTGGTTACTCTGCCACCCAAATCAATATTTACTGTGGTGGAATGACCTCCAAGTTATATTGTTAAGTGAAAAAAGTATGATGCAAGACAATGTACATTATATAAAGGAGGGGACATAAATTATGGACATGCTTTAGATACATAGACTGTTTCTGGGGAGCTACAAAAGAAACCGGCTCAGAGCCATTGCCTGTCTGCAGAACTGGGTTAGACGGGCAGGACAGGGGCAGAGGAAGCCTTGCTTTTCACTATTTCTCCTCTTGTACTATTTGCATTTTTGGTCATGTCCATGTTTTACCAATTTCAAATAGATTACTATTTTTTTTTAAGATCTTATCTATTTATTTGAGACAGGGAGGAAGAGAGAGAGAGAGCACCAGTGGTGGGGAGGGGCAGAGGGAAAGGGAGAAGCAGGCTCGCCACTGAGCAGGGAGCTCGACTTGGGCCTCGATCCCAGGACCCTAAGATCATGACCTGAGCCGAAGGCAGACACTTAACCGACTGAGCCACCCAGGCGCCCCTAGATTACTGTTTTAAATTTTGGTGTAATTATCCATTCTCAGAAAACATACAAGAATTGTATATCGAATTCATGGCTACCTTTCACCCAGATTCTCCAAATGTTAACATTTTTAAATAGTTCATTTTAAATACCAAAACAAAAAAATGTTTTTAAAGGAATGGGTTCCAGCAGAGATAGTCACACTGTTATGCCCAATTTACACGTGAGGAAGCATAAATTCCGAGAGGCTGAACGGCTTGCCCTCTGTACATGGAGCAGGTTTGTAGTGGCAGAGCTGGGCCAAATCTAGGTCCTCCGACAAACAGCTCCTGTTACCACAGTGGTGACTTATACCCAGGCTGGTTTCAGAGTGACTTGACAGCAGATTCCTCAATTAAAATAACTTCTCTTTTCTGAGAGTCATCTTCACCTCAGTCTGGATTTCTGAAAATTCTGAGTAACCACTGCCTTTGTCAAAACAGTAGACAAGATGTAAATGGCCTGGTCTGACATCTCAAACACTGAGACCTGGTTCTTGGCAGGCTCCTGGCCTCCTCCTGCCACTAAACCACATTGTGTTTATAAACACAATTCCTATATCACCCCCGATTCCTTCTCAGGTAAAATATCTGTTGAGGGAAAGGGAAAGAGGAGTTATAAAATTATATTTTGACAACTTGAGTTAAAATGGAGCTATAAAATTGTACTATCTCTATACCACTAGGGGGCACCATTACCTCGCATTTTCTGCTGGCTAAGGTTGGAAATCGTCCGTTTGTTTTTGTCATTGTCTTAAAAATAGAAATAATGTTATTATAATTACAGTAGCAATGTGTAGCCAGTGTAGAGCAATTAGTAAATACTTATAGGCAAAAAGAAGAAAAAAATTAAAATCCTTTCTTAGATTACAACTACTGCTACTGATTTCATAGTTTACAGCTGCTAGTATAGGTTACAAAGCTACCAATGTCTGTCCTTCCAGACATTTTTTCTAATGGACCTACAAATTCAGAAAAAATAGATTTATTTATTTATCGAAATATAATATATTGCAGACACCTACATAAATCATAAATATACAACTTGATGAATTTTCACAAAATGATTACAGCCATGTAATCACCATTCAGATCAAGAAATAAGACACTAGGGGTGCCTGGGTGGCTCAGTTGAGCATCCACCTCTTAATTTTGGCTCAGGTCATGATCTCAGGGTCCTGGGATTGAGCCCTGTGTGGGGCTCTGTGCTCAGCTTGGAGTCTAAGATTCCCTCTCCCTCTCCCCACACTCGCTCCTGTGCTTTCACACTCTCTTGCTCACTTGCTCGCTCGCTCTCTCAAATAAATAAATGAACAAATAAATAAAATCTTAAAAAAAGGGAGGGTGCACCTGGGTGGCTCAGTCAGTTAGGCGTCCAACTCTTGGTTTTGGCTCAGGTCATGATCTCCTGGTTGGGAGATCCAGCCCTGCATTCAGCTCCATGCTCAGTGGGGAGTCTGCTTCCCCTCTCCCTTTGCCCCTCTTCCTGCTTGTGCACTCTCTCTGTGAAATAAATAAAAAGAAGACATTAATACATCTTTTTAAAATTTTTTAAAAAGACACTGGGTGTTATACATGAACAATGAATCATGGAACACTACATCAAAAACTAATGATGTAATGTATGGTGATTAACATAACAATAAAAAATTAAAAAAAATTTTTTTTAATGTATCTATTTGAGAGAGAGTGTTGGGGGTGCAGAGGGAGAGAATCTCAGAGAATCTCAAGCAGACTCCCCTCCGAGGGCAGTGCCCACCCTCGGGCTTGATCTCAGGACCCTGAGATCATGATCTGAACCAAAATCAAGAGTCAGGCACTTGGGCGCCTGGGTGGCTCAGTTGTTCAGCGTCTGCTTCAGCTCAGGTCATGATCCCGAGGTCCTGGGATCGAGCCCCGCATCGGGCTCCCTGCTGAGCAGGAAGCCTGCTTCTCCCTCTCCCACTCCCCCTGCTTGTGTTCCCTTTCTCGCTGTGTCTCTCTCTGTCAAATAAATAAATAAAATCTTAAAAAAGAGTCCAGCACTTAACCGACTGAGCCACCCAGGTGCCCCTATCTTTAGATGGACCCTTCTTGCCTCCTCACAGTAACTACCTTCTTCAGAGATAACCGCTATGCTGCTGGCTTCTAACATGAGAGAATAGTCTCATTCATTTTTGAATTTTATATGTATGGAGTCGTACAATATATGCTCTTGTATCTGGCTTTTTTTGGTGCAAAATTATATTAGTAAGATTTATCCTTGTTGTTATGTGTTGTAGTCATTTGTTTTTGTTCCTGTATTTTGTTTTATGAATTTGTCACAATCCTATATACCAGGGATTGGAGAACTTTCTATAAAGGGCTGGATAGTAAATATTTTAGGTATTGTGGACCATTCTGTCTCTATTGCAACTATTCACCTCTACCTTTGTAGCTCAAAGGCAGCTGTAGATACGTAAATGAGTGGGCATGACTGTGTTCCAATAAAACTTTATTTTCAAAAACTAGATACCAAGATGGAATTTGCAGTAGTTGCCAACAACTGCTATACTTTTTTTTTTTAAGATTTTATTTATTGATTTATTTATCTATTTAGAGAGCAGGGGGAGGGGCAGAGGGAGAGAGAGAGACTCTCAAGCAGACCCCCCCTGAGTGCAGATCTCGACATGGCTGGATCTCTGTTTTTGTTTGTTTCTTTTTTTAAATAAAATTGTGTCACACTATGATGAAATTTTTTGACATATCATAAATAGTCTTGATAGCTCATTTCTGTAAAAAGAGGAACTCTAGAAAGTGAAATAATAGCTGTCACTTTCCTTCTTTATTGTAGTCTCTGGCAAACATAGATGAAGTCGTGAACAAAATTAGACTGAAAATAAGGTAAGTAACACCATATGATTATTAATAATTAATGGAAAGTATGCTGTTAATTTAGTTAATCACGTTCTGGATCACACTTACCTGTTAAAACACCGAAATCTCAAGTTTGCTGTTTATGACAATTTTTTAAAAAATAATTCTTTTATCTTGGTTTCCATATGAACCTCATGGCAAAGCATTTGATTCTTTCATCAGTCTTCGATTATTTATAAGTAGGGAAGGAAGCTTTAACCATTCAAAATGGTTGGTCATAAAAGGGGGCAAAAGCATTTCTACTGTATTTTTAATAGTTTTATTTCCTTAGCAGATTTACCTTTTTTTTTACTCCCAAGGCTTAGATAAAAGGATGGGCATATACATGTATCCCTTGGCCACGTACCAGCTAACAGGATGGTCAGATCTGCTGGTTGGCATTTGTGGTAGCCCAAGATTAAATGTTGTGATTAATCTAGGATGTGCTTGTCAGAGTTAGACATCAAGTGTCCTTCCTGCCTAGTAGCCTTTTTCTGGTTTATCCACATCTGGATTTCCAGTTTTGATATACAGCAGATGGTCAGTGTCTGTTCACTGTAATTAATATTATAGTGGTTGATGTCATTACTTCAAATACATTTTTGGGGAGTTTTTTTGTTTGATTTTTGATGAGGAGAAGCCTTCATTTTGAATCCAGGGGATGGTTTCTTTTTCCCTTACAAGCTTTGGGTCTTTCAGTGAAGACCTTTGCCATGAATATATTGTTTAGTTGGACGCCTCTCATTGTTTTGATGGACTTCAGCTATAACAATCTTAGTAGAGACTGCTAAGTTGTCCAGGATTTGCACAGAAAATGGGAATTTCCTAACGATCCCCAAATCACTGCAGACTGGTTATTTTCAGCTTTCTCCCAACATACCTTTAAAAGATTCTTTATATGAAAAATGAAATTGATCTAAATTTCTCTGGCTGAGGTGCCACTAAATGGTCGCTGTGGGAGCCAGAGGTCGCAGACCCACTTACCACACAGCTTGCACAATCAGGGCCCAGAGGGTGAAGCACTGATGTCATGTGGCACTCTAGCTCCTTAACCCTTTAAGGTTTCTGAGGAAGTTACTGAGGATTTTGTGTGGGGTAATTTGAATTCTCTGACTTGTCCCCATAAAGTTTCAGCAACATCGTCATCCCTGGTTTTCTCCACTGAAAAATACTAAACGTTACATTGGCCCATTTGGACAGCTCTGAATATTAAGTAAGAGTAGCCTTTTTAAAAGACAAAGACTCCTCCTCAGTCTGCGCTGGGCTTGGCTTCTTACACTACTGTTACTGCCTTAGCAAGGGTCCGGGGCCCCAGTCTTCCTTATATCGCTCAGACTTGTTTGGTTTTCTGGACAAGTAGTTGCAACCAGCAGAAGTTGATGGGTAAGTTATCACCTCTTTTTCTTTTGGTCACCCTAGGATGGAGGTTGTTTTAATGATTCTTATCCTTTAACTTTTTCACTAGGAGACTGGATGACAATATTCGAACTGTTGTAAGAGGTCAAACAAATGTGGGGCAGGATGGCAGGCAAGTAAGTAACTTATTCATACTCTCCAGATTTCTTCATGACCCAACAACCAAATGACCAAAATGTTGATCCGCCTGCTTGTAGAGAGCACTTTCTTACTGAGGTGTCCCACACGCAGCAGGAAATGTGTCTGACTTGTCCCACTAATACCAGACCAGCAGTGAGCTCTCTCACTCAGTGTCTGCACAACCAGGAGCACACATAGCTCACCCAGGCCAAGGCCACGCAAGCCCAAATGAGAAAACCAAAGTTGTCTTGTCTTTCTCCTCAGTGTCAAGACATACATTCATTTCAAAGTTTTATAGTTCTTTTTGGATCTAACGGAGGAGGGCAGTTGCAAGGGAATGAAGGGGGAAAGGAGTGCATGGGGTGGAGGGATTCGTCCGTGACTGAGGGGCCAGAGGTTATCTCTTCACCATTTTCCTTTTTATTTGGATTCTGTTCTGTTTAGGCGTCGTATTTCAAAATTTGCTGTCATAACAGAGGTGTTGAGCACACCTTTTGTAGTCTTCCTCTCATGCTGTGTCTACTCTTCCTTTCAGTACTGAGTCAGGTCGCTGTGTGCCTCCGTAGTAGCTTCAGTTCTGGTATTTGTCCTCTTTGACATTTTGTAGTGCAACTCATTTCTTAAAATATACATTTGTGCTACCCAAATTTGGGGAGGAAGGGAGGTAATCATCCTACGAATAAATGTCCTGATCTCGCATACTCCTCTTTCTTCCACTAGGAGCTTACCGGTGTTAGGAGTCTTTTTCTTTTTCTTTTACATTTTTAGTTTTATCCATGTCCCTATTTCTCCTACATTTTGTGGCTTTCTTTTCCTCCTAATAATCATCTTCCATTGGCCTGTTTGTAAGTATCTACCTTCTTCCTTGTTGTCATCATCATCAGTATTTCTTATGGACATATTAGTGTCCTATAGCTGATCCAGTTTCCTGGTCCCTGCATGGTTCTTAGTCCTTATTGCTTTGTTTTTGTCATTTAGGTTTCTCCCGTGAAGCACCACTTCACAGGTGAGGCCTGTGTACATGGGGCCCTGGGAGGTAATTAAAGAGTAACAAGGTAGGGGCGCCTGGGTGGCTCAGTCATTAAGCATCTGCCTTCGGCTCAGGTCATGATCCCGGGGTCCTGGGATCGAGCCCCACATCGGGCTCCCTGCTCAGTGGAAAGCCTGCTTCTCCCTCTCCCACTCCCTCTGCTTGTGTTCCCTCTCTCGCAAGAGTAACAGGATAGTTTGCAAACACTCCAACCTCCTTCTGCCCTTTAGCTTTCCTCCTATATGTCTGGCCGTGTCATCTACCTCTTCAAAAACCTCAGTGGACTCTGTCTACCGAATTAAATCCAAATGTCTTTGCTTGGCATTCAAGGCCTCAATCCGCTTTTCCAGTTTTGCATCCTGCTGAGATCCATCCATACAGAAGACTCAGTGCCCTACAAGCACGCCCTCTGCTTTCTGAACCCATGTACTTCTTTTTGCCTAAAATTTTCTGTCCTCCTTTTCTTCTAGTAACTTCATCTCAAAATCTTAACCTAAGGCCCAGCTCAAATACAACTTTCTCCATGAAATTTTCTATTTAGCTCAGCTGGACATACAAAAGGAATCAGAATTTTAGATGTAGAGGGGACTTGGAACTCATTCTACAGATGAGCAGATTCATCCTGATATCCCTCAACTAGATGTATATCCTTTCTGCCCACAAACTCCCAGGCCTATGCCCATACTTTCCATTTGACTTTCATGGTCTCCTTTGACTTAACTAGTGAACACATCTTGTCTCCTTGACTAGTCTATAAGTTCCTTGAGGCAAGAACTGAATCGTCCTTATCTCTGTATTTCTCTCAACACATAGTTCACATGCAGTAATTTTATTCAACTGTATTGAATATGTGGTCTGTGTGAGACTAAAACAAAAGCCCTTTACCATAGAACATCATTATGATCAGTGTGTGTCCCCATAAAGCTGTTGAGAGCCTGATTAGTGTGTAACTAGTCCTGAATGACTACTATTTGAAATAATAACACAACTCTTTAGTGTGATTCAGCCTACGCTCAGAGTGGCTCACGAAAATACTTATGGGAGTCTCAGGTATTTCAAATTCCAAGAATGGGAAAATAATATGAATGATTCATCAGGATTTTTTGTTGGGTCATGCTATGTATGTTTTAACCAGTGGTCACAAACTAGCTAGCAGTGGTGGAGAGTCAGGCCCCAAATTAGACAGCAGGCAGGAATGTTGGCCTTCCCCACCTTCCCATATTAATAGGTTACAGGTTGCTGCAGCAGGGCAGGTCGTATTTCAGAGAGCAAGACCACATTTTCAAGAATGTTTAGATAGCATTTCAATCTGAGGTGGAGTTTTGTGTTCGTCTCCTTAGAATCCAGACAGAAAGGAAGCCCAGAAGAAATAATTGCTTTTCCTGTCATCCCCTCCATCTGTCTTTTCCAGCAGTTTGTAACACAAGCTGAGGTCGAGACTTTTTTTTTCCAGGGAGCTTTTGGGTCCCATCCTTCTCAACTCCAAGGGGTAAAAGTCTTGCTATCCACCCGGCTGGCTGGTGGTTTGCTGAAGAGAGACTCTTATTTGACTGGCACAGACTTGGGAGAGTTATAGATGTTCCAAAATACAGAGTTTTATAGGTCAAGAGGCCCCAGATTCCCCTCTTCCCTGGAATAGAGGAAAAGTCCGCCTTCAGAACTTGTTTCCTAAGCTTCTGAGGAACATTCGGGAGGAGGGCAATATTACGGACCGGAGGACATGTCATCTTGATTATGTTCAACCAGAACTGATGTGCTTTTTAATCTGTAAAGAAGGGGGAAATGTTTACTTCCTGTTCACAGTGTCTTAAAAGATATTTTTAGTAAAAATTTTTGAAAAGCGGTGCTTCTCACTACAAAATTATTTCTGAGGAGGCAGTGATTGAGAAATTGAGGACACAGTAAGGCACTTTCTTTGATTTTTGAGATTTCTGAAGTACCAGCTGCCTGGTTAGCACTCTGTTCCACATTTTGGAGAGCCTCTGATTGTTGACCACCTCCTACATGGCAGACTTGAACTGGTTTAGTCTGTGACCTCTTCTAACCAGACTGTGATGCTCATACAAAGTTAATACAGCACAGAATTCTCCCCATTTTCTTCTGCTGAAGTCATCAGGCAAAAGCTTTAATTAAATGCCCACATGTTTCAAACTTTGTGGATAAGATGAGTCAATTCGATTAATACAGGATCTCATATGCTCTGAACCTTCTGCAGCTTCCCGAGAATTAAAACAGACGGCTTGACTGTGGGTAGAAAGAGGTGAATAGAGGAGCGGGTTGGAAAAAGAAAAGGTTGGCATGTGATGTTTCAAGAGTGGCCAAAGCTTGACCAATTCCCAGTGTGCTCACTGAGAAACACCAAAAGCATCAGCCACTGGGCTTCTGTCTCTGTAGTGGAGCTTCGCTGTACTGTTACTATTGCAGCAGAGTAAGATTAAGATTCGGAAGGGGAAGAAACTGTTAATTGCCATCTCCAGCTCAGCTCACCAAAAGTTGATTGTAAGAAGCTTTAAGTATCCATAGTACAATCTTGCACCCAGTTCAGGAATCCTTTCTATGACAGCCCTGACATTTCATTGGCCTACTTCTGCTTGGACACTCACGGTGATGGGCAGCTCACTATGTTGTTGATGTACAGGACAGTCTCAGTCTATTCCAGTTTCGAATAGCTTTAATTGTAAGAAACTTCTTTCTTAGACTGAACTGAAATAGTAAAATAGATCTCATTGTAACATCTCATTGCTCTAGTTCTGCCAGCAGGATGGGTGTAAGCCTAATCCCTTTTCCTCATTATAGTTTCTAAAATTTTAAGTGGATATTATGTTCCTTTCTTAGTGTTCCTTTTTCTAGGCTAACCATTCTTAGTTTCTTCAGCTTTATGATCTGATTTCCAGACCCTTTATCATCCCGGTTGCCTTGCAGTTTGTCAACATCATTTTTAAAATGTGGTTCCTGGGGTGCCTGGGTGGCTCAGTTGGTTGAGCGACTGCCTTCGGCTCAGGTCATGATCCTGGAGTCCCTGGATCGAGTCCCGCATCGGGCTCCCTGCTCAGCGAGGAGCCTGCTTCTCCCTCTAACCCTCCCCCCTCTCATGTACTCTCTCTCATTCTCGCTCTCTCAAATAAATAAATAAATCTTTAAAAAAAAAAAAATGTGGTTCCTGGCCAGGAGTAGACATACTGTGTGGACACACAGTGGGACGGCTTACCTCCTTGTTCTGCACTGGGGCTGTTAATGTGGGAATTGGGGTTCAGGGGGACTGAAAATTATTATTAATTCCTGAAATTAATTATTCGTTTTTGTATGAATAGATTTATTTCTTGAGAGAGTACTCATTGATTTTTCTAAATTCTCTAAGGAGTGTGTGACTCTTCAAAGGTTAAGGACCACTGGTTTTAGACACTGTTCTCCCCTTACCTTGGGTGCAATTTTTGGCAGCCGTGTCACACTGTTGGCTTCTGCTGACAGTCGAGTTGGCAGTTCTCTGAAACCCCCAGGTCAAGAGTTACAAACAGATGTCCACAGAGCTAAGAAAGTGATCTAAATGGCTTCAGCAGGCCAGTGTGCATCCACATGTATCCCATGGGCGAATGAATGCCCTGTCTAAAGGGGACAGCCACAACCCAGTTCAAACCAGCTGTGGTCAGGCCTGAATGCAGACCCGGAGATGCCAGATCTATCAGTTTTTCAAGAGAAGCGGAAATCCGGATTTTTATGTGACTCTCCAGATTTTTAGATGTTGGCTTATTGTCTTTCACAAATACTGCTAAGGCCAAACAAAACACATCTATGCCAACAGTTTGCAACATCTGCCCCAGGTCTTTTTGCATATGAACTACTTTTCAACTTTTCCCTCCTCTGTTTAAGAGATTCTTTTTTTTTTTTTTTTTTTTAAGATTTATTTATTTGACACAGAGAGAGAGACAGCTAGAGAGGGAACACAAGCAGGGGGAGTGGAAGAGGGAG